ACCCTAACCCTAACCCTAACCCTAACCCTAACCCTAACCCTAACCCTAACCCTAACCCTAACCCTAACCCTAACCCTAACCCTTCGGCACTCCAACACTCAACTCACCATTCTCAGGTTCACCAAACGTCTTCCCCCAGCTCGTCGAGTACAGCGGGAGTCGCGAAAATGAAGAGATCACAACATCATGTTCCAACCAAGTCGGGTATACCAGACCCAATCTCCTCACATCCGGGATGGTAGCTACCAATTGCAGAGCTTGAGCAACGAGATCGGGAGAGGTGTAGATCTGCACTGCGGAGCGGATGTTGAGCGCTGTGGATGCGAGGGCTGAGATTGTGGAGAGTTCATGCGAAATATCTAGATCAGGAACCAGGGCGATGTTGATGCTGTAGAGGACTATATTTGCTAAGCGAGGCTCTGATGGTGGTGATGATGGAGATCCGGAGTTTAACGCTGGAGAGGAATGGATGTTCATAGCATACATCAGATTGCTTGTTCTACTTCTCCATTCAGGCATTCGGGTCCTTGCGCGCACGATGTAACGCCAGAGGAGCGCGGACAGAGCGTCGTTTGTGGAGATCCAGGATGTTTTTGTTTGGGTACAGTCGGTTTTTAAGCGCTCTAAAGCGTCTTTTTTGATGAGGAAAACTGCGGTCCCCACTATGTATGGGCCTTTACACGTGTGATGTGTGCTAGCTGTTGCTGCACGAATGTGGGCTCCTCGCTTAACGACAACCGATGCGTCAACTGGAAAAATCGATTTCCCACGATGCTTTGAAAATTAGGGTTACAAAAGTATTACAGGCCTAATATACTACACCTGTCTGATCGTCAAATCCCACAACTTCCATTACTCTGTTTCCCAGATTTCGAATTTTTGACTCTCCGCACCATGGCGTACCCCGAGGACGTCGGCATCAAGGCCCTTGAAATTTATGTTCCAAGCAAGGTATGCTTTGGGGCTCTATTTGCCATGCCAATATTGAAAATTGATTCTAATTCTCCGTAGACATTGGACCAATCCCAATTCGAGGCGCACCAGGGAGCGTCGGCCGGGAAATACACCATCGGTCTTGGTTTAAAGTCCATGAACTTTTGTGACGACCGGGAAGGCAAGTCACACGATCAAAATCCGCGATGACGATGATGATGATTCAAACAGATAACTTATACTAAAGCTTCACAGATGTTTGCTCTCTCGCATTGACAGCAGTTTCGTCTCTCCTTAAAAAGTTTTCGATAGACCCTCAGTCTATCGGTCGACTTGAGGTTGGGACAGAATCGCCCATCGATAAGGCTAAATCCGTCAAGTCTGTCCTCACTCAACTGTTTGGTGACAACCACTCTTTAGAAGGTGCCGACACCGTCAATGCATGCTATGGAGGTACCAACGCTCTACTCAACGCCATCAACTGGGTAGAGTCTCGCTCTTGGGACGGCCGAGACGCCATTGTCGTTGCTTGCGATATTGCTATCTACAAGGATCCAGCTGCAAAACCTACCGGTGGTGCTGGTTGTGTTGCAATTCTCGTTGGTCCTAATGCCCCGATTGTTGCAATTCCAGCTCTCCGCGGTACATACATGACCCATGCATACGACTTCTACAAGCCGGACATGAAGTCAGAGTACCCTCTTGTCGATGGCCATCTCTCCATCTCATGCTACATCTCCGCTCTGGACGGCTGCTACAAGCGACTACGCCAAAGCGTAGCCCGTCTGGAAACAGAGGGGAAGTTGAAAGAACGCAACCCAGACGCCGTTGCCATCCTGAAGCAAAAACGTAAGAGCCTGATCGATATCTTCGATTTCATGGCTTTCCACACGCCCAACTGCAAACTCGTCAGCAAATGCTACGGTCGACTTCTCTACAACGATTTCCTCAACGACAAGTCCGACCCAACCTTTAAGGATGTTCCCGAATCCCTCCAAGACCTTGCTTATGACGAGTCACTAAAATCCAAAGACCTCGAGAAGTTATTCGTGGGTCTCAGCAAAGAAGCTTTCACATCACGAGTTGCACCATGTATTGAGGACCCCAGTCGCTGTGGAAACATGTACACTGGCAGTCTCTACTGCTCCTTGATCAGCGTGCTATCCCATATTGACTCGGAGAAGCTTCAAGATAAGACGATTGGCATGTTCAGCTACGGAAGCGGAATTGCCAGTACATTATTCACGCTCCAAGTGGTAGGTGACGTGAGTGAGATTGTTAAGAAGATCGATTTTGAGGCACGATTAAAGGCGAGACATGTCGCCAACCCGCGGGAATACGAAGAAGTATGTTCTTTTTGTCTACGAATGTGATTTTCATTTCCACTTCATCTCATCGCTTTGAAATCATGTACTAACTGTACTCCGAAAGGCGTGTAAATTGCGCGAAGCGGCATATGGTCAGAAGAACTATACACCAACCGGTGACTTGGCCAGCATTGGTGAAGGCGTATACTATCTCGAGCACATTGATGACCAGTTCCGGAGAACATATGGTATTAAAAAAGCATAGGTCAACGAAAATTAGATTAGACGTAGAGATAGAATTAATTGCCATAACTTCAAGTATTTGAATCTGGCGAGCCTGTACGATACCTGGTCATTAATCTGTAGCCTTACACACTATATAAAAAGTTGTTATACTAAACTTCTAGTACAAGTAAAATAATTGTCTTAAGATAGCTAAACTAATAAGACGTACCATTTAACATTTCTTCTAAGCTCTTTATATAAGCATTTTGGTTATACGAGGCGTTTGGGAATTTTCTATTATAAAAGAGGTATATTAGACAGTAAGGCGAAACTGAAGACATACTAAGGTTATGAAGAGATTTTATTCTAAAAGTCCCATAATTAAAATGGCTCTCCTAGTGACTTAGGATAATTAAAATCATTATATCTCTATTAACCTAAGTTCTTTAGGATAATAAAGTTAATTGTTCTATCAGTTATATTATAATAGGTTTCAAAGGTATGTCTGCAGTTCCGCCTACTATGGCTGTCTTACAGACTAGTAACCACGTCCCTCGTGTCTTCGCTAAAAGGCTTGGTCTCACATTCCATATGAGAAATACTGCAGGCCAAGTCACCGATAAAAACTATGTATGTCTTCTAACACCAAAATAAAAGCTGTTTTAGAATTCAACTATTCTCACCTGAATTACCGCTCATAGAATGCTCACCGTTTCCACCATGTTATCACTTATGGCATTTGCACAACAAAAACATAAGTTCAGACTACACCTCTTATATTTAGTCTCCTCTACACAATCAGATCTTCTTCTCTCTAAACCTCGGCTTCAACCTAACCGGCAACTCGGGTTTCTTCCACAACAAATGCATCTCACTTTCCGCCTCCCAATCCACCATCGGTCCCACACGCTCAATCTCATATCTCCAAATCAACCTACTAAGCACAATATGCATTTCCAACCACGCCAAACAGCGGCCTAAGCAACTCCTTCGTCCAAGACTAAATGGCTGCGCCGCATCCAACATATCTTGTTTGTTATCTCCTATCCAACGCCCGGGGATGAACTCGTGTGGACGCGTGAAGTTCGTCGGAGATAGAGATGCAGCGTAGGGATTGGTGCTCACGACGAATCCTTCTGGCACAGGGTAGCCGTCTACTAGAGCACCGCCTTTGGGAACGACGCTAGGGAGGCCAAGGGGGAGAGGGGCGTACATTTGTAGAGCTTCGAGACAGACTGCGTGGAGATATTTGAGACCGGCGGTGCTAGCGGCGCAAATGTCTTCTTCTTTGTTGAATTTATTCGGGATTTCATCAGTAAGGGTTTGAAGAATTAAGGGATTGGAGAGTAGGTAGTGAATAGTGACAGCGCGTGTGGTAGCGGTAGTTTCTGAACCTGCGATTACGAAATCTGAGGCGTGGGCAGCGAATTGGATGTCTGAGACGTGAGTATCGTCGAATGGAGACGATCGCGAAGGAGGTAGGACATGAAGTCTATGCGGTCTGTCTTTTCGTTGATACGTCTGAAAAGTAAATAAAGAGGAACTTATATCATGTATATATGGGATTGAGACTTACTGTTTTGTGACTTTGATAGTGTAATTTTGATGTCGTTCAGCGGCGACCATAAGGCTCTTTAACCAGCCTGGTCTGAGAAGCATGTATATCTTTCCAGCCCACGGGGATCGCCCCAATGTATCCGATAAGCCGGACCTGTGACATACTGCCTAGGACGTCGAAAATCCAGAAGTGTATTTTGCCTGAGCAGAAGTTCCATTAGCAAAGCAAATATTTGTAGGTGGTACGGTCTCAGAACCAGCTGAGTAGGGAGAAAATTTACGTACCACTTTCCACGCCTTCAAAATCTTGTCCAAAAACCAACAACCCCTTAACGTCAAAAGTCATCAAATCAAACCCCTTCTCACTACCCCGGGCGGTCCAGGAGATATTATAGGTCGGTCGAGGTTGTAGTTGAAGGTATCGGGGTGTGAGTATTTGTGACTTTCTTAGATTAGTCGGATGGTTGTATGGTGTAATTGTGTGAAAATATAGAGTATTGGTTGATGTTCTTGGGATAGTTGTTGGACTGCCTTGGGTGGGTGCCAAGACTGGGAACGCCCTCACTTTGGGCCTTCGTTTATGTCCATATTAGGCCACACCTCCGGGCCTCGTAATTGTAAAGCTGGATTTACATATGCGCACGATATATAAGGTGAAGTCGCTTGTGATGCGCGTAGGTAACCTTTGCCTAAATCAAACAATTCTATACTTATATTCTTCTAAGTATTAAGGTTGAGGCTCAGGAACCAATATCGAGTCCTCGGGTGTCTATATATATACCCCTACTCCTGAGAAGGTTCTTAGAGAGGGCCTTGCAATAGTTACAATATAGGATTGTCTTCCAATTCTAAGTTTAATATAAGAAATAAGTGCCTGTAAATAGCCTTGTATGAAGATAGTAACGACTCACTCGCTAAAGTCATACGTTTCGAGACTGACCATTATAGCAAAAGCTCCCAGGACACTCTAGTTTATATTGACATCACAAGACGGTTATACAAAATCCCCCCTTCCTTGCCTTAATGGTAGTACCTCGGTGTTATTTGGACGTGCGAGACTCACAGGTATCTACAGTGGGAAGGTCAGACTGGGAACACAGGGTACTAGGAGCTGAAGTCAAAGCAGCATGGAGATTTGTAGTGTGGCCAAGACCAAAAGACTCGGGATATGCTGTCTTGAACCAATCTACCGACTTTTGAGCTGACTTTGTAGTGCATTCAGGCAGCGGAGTACGTTGTTCTGGAGGACGTAGCTCAGTGGAGAAACAAAAAGGCCCTCCATAATATCTAAAACACTTATCTTCCACCGATGGAGTAGCTATCTGTGTAATGCCTAGTCCCTGCCCTGCTGGTATCCACCACCACCCACAGGTAACGTACCTACGGAGTCTCTTGAAGGCCATCTGGATATTTCTTCAGTGGATATAAGAGCAGCTCTTCTTGACTTCACACATGGAAGGGAAACCCTTATGTTCAGTACTGTTTCGTTTGCAAAGAGTGGTCGATCCAAAGCCACAAAAGAACGTTCTGCGCCTTACTATGGACAATCCACCAAGCAGTTTGGCTGTGAGACGTGTCGAGTGCTCAAGGTAGGTCCTTGCAGGCCAAGGCAGTACCAACAATATCTAGACAAAGGGAAGAAAGTGGGCTGATTTACTTTGCAAGACAGGTCAAATGTTGCTGTGGCAAGTCGTCTGGTTCTGGCTCTAGTTCTGGCTGTACTCGCTGTCTGAGCCTCAAGATTCCTTGCGAGTACGATGGGGTTAAGTATCCTCGGCCGCAACTCTCCAGAAGGCGGACAAGAGCATAAGTTTAAGCCGACGCGAATCGTTGTCCGCGCCTCTGAAGAAAAAAGACAACTCCAACTATGATGTTGTTGTAGACGAGGAACCATCCCTCACGGACGTTTATCCACCACCCCGCGATACATCGCCGGGGGACTTTCCTGCGACCGAGGATTCGAGTGATGGACAGAAAACCGTGGTTGGAAGTAACTCCACGCTGTTTTTTGAGGATGGCGGTGCGACCTTAGAGGCTATGGATGATACTACCACATTTGGCGATTTTGAAGATTCGCTAGACTGGGCACTGACAAGCGATGATTATACTTCTTCATCAGATCCAAAACAATCCCTTTTCGCCTTTGACTCCAGCCCAAACCACAAAGGTACTAGCGCCAACACGATCCAATATTCGAATCCAGTTCTTTCTACAAGTATCTTCCAACCGTCGAACTTGAGCCAGAACCTCTAGGGAACTTCGTCCTCCTTCTCCCTAGCCTCCCCCTCCTCACCATGTCCATGCTCTTGCTCTTGTTCCGCCCCATCTCTCCAGCTCGCTATTCAGTTACGCTATCGGTCCAGCATGTGCTCGCCAGAGTCCCCAAGGGGAAACGCCATATCGCTAGAGCAAAGCTTGTCACGGATCCTCACTGCTCACGCCAGCGCAGCACAGTTAGGCAATGTTATGACGGCATGTGCATCTCGATGCCTGACCCAAGCCTCCAACGCGGTGCAATGGGTCATGTTGAGTGAACAGCTTGTTGATATTTACGCTGCACTTGTCGGGCAGCTATCGGATGTGCGTACTGCTGTAAGTGATGGCACGCCAGATGCAGAAATAGCTGCGACGATGCCGCTGAGGGTCAGCGAGTATATGATAGAAAGTGCGGTGGAGAAAGAAGCGATTCTTTCGCAGCTTGTGAATCAAAGAATGAACACTCTGGGCTTATTTGCAGTGACGCACCGAGAGCAGTTGGGAAGTGCGTCTGGAGTAGGGGAATGTCGTGGAAGGTTGAATGCTGCAGTTCAGAAGTTAGCGATGTCAAGAGATAGATCTAACCGAATATAGGAGCACGGGAGGAAATCTTTGTTGAAACTTGAAACTTTTTTGATGAGGATAACAGCGGATATAGATATAGATTTCTGCAATAGAAAAACAAGAAGAATCACAAATTACAAGACAGAGAAACAAAAACCTCTATTCTACCGAGTTCCCTTGTAATTTCGACCAACTTACCTACATAGCCCGTTGCCGAAAACGGACCATCAACTCTCGTTTCCACCACATTACAAAAACCTTTCCCTCATTCAACCAGTCCAACTCCGTATTAACCAGTTCAAGGTCATACTTAAAGAACATCTTAGCCAATAACAAGTTCATTTCCATTTACGCAAAGCTACAATCTTGTCAGTCCAACCAGGTAACCAAAGTGAACTCCCACCAAAGTTAGAGGACTTGCTTGCGGCCCAAACATCCTCTTGGTCCCAAAGAAAATGGCTGACTAGCCTCCTTAACATCTTGGCTCTCAGGATCAATCCATCTCTCGGGTTTGAACTCCATAGGATCTTTAAAATATCGAGAATCATGAGTCACCGTCCACGCGCTCGTATAGACCTCCGTCGGTCGTTTATGTTAGCAGTGACTCCTCATTCCCGTTGTTCTCAATGACCTACGCCTTGGGGAATGAATTTTCCATGTAAGTTGAAGCCAGGGGACACTCGAGGGAAAACTTGTGATCCCGGTGGAAACAGGCGCAGACCTTCGTTAATCACAGCCTGAAGATATGGAAGTCGCTGAGCCTTTTGTGCGTCTATCTCCTCATACAGAGAAAACGCTCCACGGATTTCATCGACTGACTTTTGCATCGTGGTCAGATTTTTGAGAAGAAAGAAAGTTGTACCAGCCAAAAATGTTGACACCGTCTCACCACCAGCGATACTGTGAAGTGTCAGCATTAGACTTGGGGCAGAAATGGCCGAAATTTGCTTACGCCAACGTGGATACGTGAGCACTCATCTCTTCTTTCTCGACCTCTCCATTACGAACCTTCTCAACTAGGTTGGTTAGAAAGTCTTTCCGCGCGGTTTTTGAACCTAGGCGTCTGGTCAGTGTTAGCCAGGATTCAATAGTTCTTTCTGGATGTTAATGTTGCACTTTTCAACTTGTTTCCGGCTGAATGCTGAGTTTTGGTTCTGGACCACCAAAGTTGAAGGGAAGAAAATCTTGGCCATTGTGGCCAACAGTGGCAGTCTGCTGAGATTGTCGATTAAAGTGATGAGATAGAGATGTTCCTCGATGAGGTCGGACCAGAAATGCGTTTTGCCTATGATACACTAGTAAGTAGCTATTATGTTATTTCCAAAGACTATGATTCGTATAGCCTCTGAAGAGCACCCAGTTTGGCAAGGTATTTGGCTTTACGGGGTTGAATTAGGGAAACCGTACCATTTTCAAGACAGTGAAATGACTCTCCGAAGGCCATCTTGCCAAGAATGTCAAATCCAACAATTTTGTACCACTTCGTCATATTCAAGCCCTGACTATCTTTGCCGCCTTTTTCGCCAAGAATGGTAACGAATTCATCAATGGTCATGCCGACAAGTTTCTCTTGCTCCAATAAGCCTCGCTGTGAGAAAGCGGAAGAGAGAATACGCCGCATCTCGCCATGCTTTTGCTGATTACATTCACTTCCAACACATAATTTGTTGAAGCCTGCGCCAAAAATCTCGTAAAGGGGCTTTCGACCGCTATGGGCATTCCGGGTGTTGCATGGCCATATATGGCTTTGCAAGACTCGACCGATGCAAAGGAGAGCTCGTTTGGAGACACGAACAATTGGGCCTAGAAGTAAGCGCCGTCAGGAATGAAAGTAGACGAGACTAGATTCACATTGGAATATGCATACCATACTTTCGATGCAACCTTTCAATTGATAAATGGATTTTGCCTGTTGCGGTGTTGGTATACCGCCAGAGCTGAACCAGTAAGCTGTTTGTCACTCATGGGCAAAGTTGAGGGAGATGAACCAGAGATGCACGGCCGGAGAATGGACCTGGAAAGTTGGCCAAAGGATGGAAGTACAGGTCGTAAAGTATCTTGATGAGCAAGCATACTATTATCTGTCATATTCATCAGTGAAAACAAGCCCAGTGATGCCAATAGGCGTACCTACCGAAGGAGGCAGCCGTTTAGCTGCTAAATACAGAGAGAGGTTTGTACTATCTAGTATAGATATATCCAACATCGCGGTCGCGGTGATATCAAATACAACAAGACAACGAAATTCCCAAGCGATCCTGTTATTCATGAAATGAGAATTTTGATAGAGACGGCATTAAATAGACACTGCAAACAGAGTAAGAAAAGGACATTTTGGTGTAGGAACTGTCCCAGAGAGGAAAATATACACGTCCCCATTAGGCAGGTTTGCCCTCCATGAAGGTGGGTCGGCTGGGCGAATCTACTGAAAGTGGTAGCTCTCGAATGTAGGAGAATTTGAAACTGTTCAGAGTTTGCACTTGCTTTGAAACCCAACCCTGAGTAATATTGTTTATTGACCGATCAAATCGTAAAATGGAATGGGTATAGATTTCAAACCAGACTCCTCCTGCGCCTTTGTGAAAGTAGGTATCATGATCCATTATCCCCCTTATCAACTTCCATAGCCTCCGGCTCAGGCGTAACCTCACCGAACTCACTCCCAGGACTCTTATCCCGCTCTTCTCCGTTCGCCTCCTCGACATCACTCTCCAACAAATCTTCAATATCTCCCAGGGGACTAATTCTCGGTTCCAAAACCTCCAAGTCTTCCAGAATTTCTCGTTTGGGCATCTTCCACAGAGTGGTGGCACACACTCTATCCTTGGTTAACAAATCATCGACAAATTGGTCCATGAAAGTAAGCGCAGTGCCCATCCTCGTCTTCCTCTTCAACTTTCTTCGATCCTCCAAATAAGGTTCCAGGAACAGATAAACGTCCTTCGCACTCCTCGTCATCCTTATATAAAAACAGGCAAGCGCCCTCAAATATTTAAATTTCTCTCCTCCAAAATCGAGATATTCCCTCAGGATCTCATCGCTGGGACCCAACTGCAGTAATTTGAAGGCGAGACAGAGGAAGGGCGAAGGTCGTTGGGCATCGCCATAGGTTCCACCGATGAAAGTTACGTGTGTGACGACGCGGTTGATGATATCTGCTTCATTGACGGCGAAACATTGATCCTTCCAGAAATAGCAGTCAATGATGCGCTCGCGGACGGGCTTTTCCATGATGGTGGCGGGGTTGAGGCCATTCGGCGCGAGGGGACCGCCTGAGCCTCGTTCGTCGAGGAACCGCTTCTCGTCGGCGCGGTGGTTGGCCATGATGGTGTACGACTGAGATTGAGATTGGTATGACTATGGGCTTATGCGGAGGAGGGGGTGTTCGAGAGTGGTGGTGGTGGTGGTGGTGATGGTGGGTTATATTGTTGGGTATGGATTGATAGAGAGCCGCGATGTTTTTCGTTGACATCTGCTCGTACCTGTAGCTTCTTATCGGTTTCTATCGGCGTGGTCTGGTAGGGGTAGCTCCCCTGTCAAAACAGCGTAGCTGGAGCGTCACGTCACATGGAGATGCCCGAGGTGAGACTTGGGCTCTCTCGCCTATCCAACAAGGTTGAACCACAACAACTTCAATCCTCAACCTTTAATCTCCCACACAATCTAGCTTGCAGGCACCAACTACTGCTCAATATTGCTCAAGGCAAGCCTTGAAACTCCTTTCCGCTTTCGCCATCCACCAAAAATACCGAGATCAACAGCTTCAAAATGGGGAAACCTTGGTTGACATGGACCTTCAGCGTCCTCCTCGGCCTAGCTACTGCAGAACAGCCATCTGCCCCCAGGCCCGTCGCAGCTCCGATGAGGTCTCTACCGTGGGGTGATTTGAACTTTATGCAAACAACAGATACACACGGCTGGCACGCTGGCCATCTGCAAGAGTCCGTTTGCCTACTCTAGCTTTATACTTTTCTAACCTTCTCCAGACCACAATACTCGGCAGACTGGGGGGACTATATATCTTTCGCCGAACGAATTCGAGAACAAGCCGACCGAAGAGGAGCGGATCTGTTACTTATAGACACCGGTGATCGGATCGAGGGGAACGGATTATATGATGGTTCGAGTCCCAAGGGGGAGTTCTTCTACGACATTGTAAAGGAACAGCACATTGATGTAATTACGATGGGCAATCATGAGTTATATCAGGCAGATGCTGCAGCCAGAGAATACGATTTGACGGTTCCGAACTTTGAAGGGAGATACCTGGCTTCGAATCTAGATTATGTCAACCCGAAAACCGGAGAAAAGATTCCTATGGCACAACGCTTTCGAAAGTTTACCACCAAGAACCGTGGAATTCGAGTGGTGGCATTTGGATTCCTGTTTAATTTCAACGGGAATGCGAATAATACCGTGGTGCAAAAGGTAGAGGATACCATCAAAGAGCAGTGGTTTCAAGACGCCATAAGAGAGCCATGCGATTTGTTCCTAGTGATTGGGCATGTGACCCTCGATGGCCCAGAATACAAAGCCCTTTACGCAGCTATCAGAGATCAAAATTGGGATACTCCGATTCAATTCTTCGGAGGACACAGTCATATTCGAAGTTTCGCCAAGTATGATAGCAAAGCATATGCTCTACAAGCTGGAAGATACTTCGAAACCATCGGCTGGATGTCCATTCAAGGAATAGGAAGTAGTCCCCAAGATCATGGGGGAGAATTGAAGAAGAGAGGCAGTATGACCTTCCAACGGCGATACATTGATAACAACCTCTTCGGCTATCACTACCATACTGGCCTCGATGAGAAAACATTTCCAACCGAGCACGGAAAGAACGTCTCGGCCATGATTCGCTCAGCTCGAAAAGCTCTAAAACTAGACCACAGCTTCGGCTGTGCACCCCGCGATCTCTGGCTAAGCAGAGCCCCTTACCCAAGCGAGAACAGCATCTTCACCTGGCTCGAAACAGAAGTTCTTCCAAAAGTCGTAAAAAACGACACGCGAACGAACATTCCCACACTAGCACTAACCAACACCGGAACGCTCCGCTTCGACATCTTCAAAGGCCCCTTCACCAAAGATACGACGTACATCATCTCACCCTTCGTCAGTAAATTCCGGTATATAAAAGACGTGCCCTACGAGGCAGCAAAACGTATCCTGCCATTAATCAACAACGAAGACAAAGTATTATCTACCACTCGTCTAAACGCAGCGTACCTCGCACCCCCGGAACAAATTTCCATCCAGGAAGACGTCATCACCCCCTCTCCTCTCTCTTCCTCAACCGACGGCAAAGAACCCCCCCTCATCCCTGGCTACACAACCAAAGACGCCTTCGGCACCGACGGCGACGACACAATCCACTCCCCTATCTCACACTACCAAGTTCCCAACTGCATCCAAGTCCCCCTCTCCTTCCCCATCTCCGAGCAACCCGAGAAAGTCGACGTCGTATTCGTGGACTTCATCCAACCTTGGATACTCCTGGCGTTGAAGTACTCCGGCGCCGACTATGGAGTGGAGGATGTAGATCTCTACACCCAGGAGACGCTTACGGAGTTGATGGCTGGGTGGATTGGGAAGAATTGGGGGAAGGATTGTTAGGTTGGTTGGGTTCTTGGATTAGATTTTGTATGTGATTGTGTCTGAACATTATGGGTTGGATTTTTTGAGGGGTGTTTGGCGTTTCATTATTTCATAAATTTCCTTCCAGGGTATGAGGGGGGTAAAGATACAACTATGCCTTCTGATCCAGAACGTGGTTGTAAATGAGTGGGGTTAGGGAAGAGCAAGGTACATACATATGCATTGTAGATACATCCAGACTGTAGATTTCTCTACTGTACAATACAGTACAGTATATCACATCAACATCCATAGAGACACCTCTTCCTGAGATATACTCATCACCCAGTACTTACCTATCCACATACCCATCACTAACCCCCCTCTTCCTCCCCGCATTTCACATTAGACTACAAATCACAAATCACAAATCACACAACAACCATCCAAAAACCCCATCCTACCTACAATTTTCAAATCCAGATCATGATTATTCCACAAGCCAACAATAAAACTCTCACTTGGTATATCACTGTGACCAACCACTTCCATGAGAGCTGCTGTACCAATAGATACGCGCTTAAAAGTTACCTCAGGTCGTAATGTCATAATTTATCAAGTTATCAACGTTCATTTCCTCTCCAAACCTTCCTTACCCAGCGTGTCTGATACTGTACCAGCTAGTAATCCCCTTCCCCCCCCTTGCCCCCTCCACCTTCCTCAAAATCCACAAATTCTCCAACTCAGTAAAACAACGCAGCAATCACACTTCACTCAATAAAAATTCACGAACTCGCATACTCACAAACGACATAAAAATCACGCTAGAATTCATATACCATACTCGTATGTAAGTATATGCACTCTCCCCCCCCCATCCCAAGCTCACTCTCCCTTCTTCCCATTCCCCTTTTCCGCTCTCACTTGCTTACTCACTCACTCCCAGCCCATATCACCATCAAAATCCATGCAAGAACACGCCTTAAGATCTCCAAAGAACGCCATGTCCCCAAGTGTAGCACACGAAACAGAAATCCATAACCCATAAACCATGCATAGCACCCTGCGAAAAGAAATGAAAAGAAGTCAAAAGAAAAGCGCAAGTGGATACCTAATCTCCAACCGTCAAATCCATATAGAGGAATATAGGTCGTCAGGCAGGAGAATGGGTCAAGTAGCGCAACGAACTATCCATGACGTTGAGCTGCCTCCTTGAAAGCAGCTTCCTGCATAGCTAGCAGCGCCTCGGTAGAAAGACCACTTTGCTCGAGCTTATTAGCTTTCTTCTCGCGTCCCTATTTCGAGTCATTAGCCATCATTCTGAACCCTATTCCCATCCCTCCATATAATACTACAATAGCACCACTTCCGTCCCTCACCCCCCTTGGAGAGTAATAAAAGAAAAACTCAACATACCTTCAACTGTTCCTTATGCTCGCTAGCAACCTCCATAATACTACCCACATACTCTCCAAAGCCCAACTGCTCCAAAGCCTTCGTGATATGCTCACAAGCAATCGTCTTCTTACTCTCCTTCTCACTAATCTCATTGGCTTCTGACGAGATAAGCGTGATGAACTCGACACAACATTCGATTAGGAGATCGCGTGCATCTTTGCCAAAGGCGAGACCCGATGAGGGAGGCAAAATCTCGGTGACAATCTTTTGTACGGTTGCTGAGAAAATGATTATTAGTAGAGGAAATGGAATGAACTGAAACAAAGAAATGAAAAAGAATAAGAAGGAAACTAGTCGTGGATCCGCCTTGAACGCTGGGTATGAGTCGAGAAAGGGCAAAGTAGTTGTCGTGTTGTGAATATCCGCAGTACATCTTGGAAAAGATCGCCAAAGAACTTGCAATAACAGGAGTCTTTCTTGTTTCTATTGACCTGAGCCGATTCAAAGCTCTGGTCGATACTTCAAACACCCATTGTCTACCCCTCCGGCCGTGACGGGATTATCGGCGATGCGAGTTTATAGGTTAACTTCCTCTGATATCGGAACAATTCCCTCGAAATTGGAAATGGAAGTCTTCCACCACTTGGACTTTTTGCTTTTTCGTCGTACTAGTGTTATCCACTCACCATCCCCCTTTTCTGAAGATTCTGGCGGTGCTGACTTTGGATCTGTCTCTGCCCCTTTCTTGTCAGACTTGGAGCAGTCCCCACTTTTGGTTGTATTTTCCTGGGCATCGCTTTTCGTCACTCGAAGCATTTGACTCCACGACTCATAACTCCCAAATGTTGGTATGAACGCTTCGTCAGCTGCATCGAGATCTTGAGAAGCTTCATGTATCCTTTGCTTCTGCTTCACACTTTCAGGCACAAATGGCGCTGCTTCCGGAGAACCCATTGATTTATGCGGCCGGTGCTTGCTCGGCGTAGTAACTGGTTGATACCCTACAGAATCGTGCCCATGTACATTCGTTCCAATGCCCATAGCTCCCAAGGACGATCGTTTGGGTTGTTGAGGCCTAGTATCGGGATGTTGTGTGTGTAGATCATACTCATATATAATCTTATTTCTCCTGCGGCCTCGGTGTTCAGACTGAGATTCTTCTGGCTGAGCTTGTTCGATCTCAAGGAGTTCTGCAGCAGGGCCATATACAAACTCCCCAGTAGATACAGGGTCATGGAGCTTATTAAGCCAGTCTCCAACCATCTGTTTAGCATCCTCAAGAACCTCCTTCTTTATTTCGCTGCCAATATCGTAATAGCTTTCACAGAACTCACACGCACAATCTCCAGGTTTTACATCCATATCAGACGGGATTGAAGCAGTCCTCGCGGTACGCAATGAGCTCGGTTTGGGCATTTGATTTGTTGAAGCAACATTAAGATCTGGATTCCCAGGCGCGCCTTGGGCCATTTGATTCGTTGAAGTGACCTTAGGATCTGGATTCCCAGGTGTGCCCTGGGGGTAGTTCTGATACGGTCGTTTGACAGGCGGTGGTTGGGGCATCCTCTCGGGCAGCAATGACCCATGACTGGTTGACCCGTTCAAATTGAGCTTCTTGATATCCGTTTGCCATGTCATATCCGGGGCTTGAGTAACTGTTGGATCCCCACGATATCCAGAAGCCATCATACCCAGGGACGTTGATAGCTGCATATCCGCGAATTCATTGATATTCGCCGAACCCGTCTTCCGGGTTGAGTCTGCGTCTTGAACCGCTCCCAGATCTCCGCTGAAATGAACTGTTGATCCTGAGAAACATGATGATCTTCTGTCGATCCCGTTGGTATCGATGCTTCCATTGACATGGGTAGATATTTCAAGGCTATTCTCCAGGGCATCTTGAAGGTAAGAGGGGCGATGTGTTGCAACGTTCAGCGAAGAAGCTGGCAAAGGCAAATTCATCGTTGCGAAAGCATTCTGGTTGGGATTGTTATAGTAATTGTAACTGACAGTTACAAACGGCATCGACTGGCAATAGTAAGGGAAGTAAGGCGGTGTCATATTCAATGATGGCGGCAACTGCGGAAGAACCTGGCCGAACCCGGCGTTGTTTCCTCCATGCTGATCAGGTTTCATTTGAGCCCCGTACGGATGATAAGCGTTATTCGTACCCGTGGTTTGACTCTGGGATTGCGTACTCGACATATTCACCACTCAAGAGACGTTTTGTCGGAAGCTTTTCCTTTGTCGGTGCAGCAAGTTGAGGATTTGGGCGCCGGAGAATGAGTAATCCAAGAGAGAGGAATGAGTAGATCCAAGTAACAATAACGAGTGTGGATTGGTAATAAATAGCAATATCTTCGATGGCGAGAGTGATAACGAATGTGTTGTTGATGATGTAGAAAAAGAAAGACGGGAAGGGGAAAGGATTGTACTATACCTTTAGGCAATGACAAGTCATCGTTACCTATAGAGAAAGAGCGATTAGCATGTTTCCTTCAATCGTTACTGCATTTCCAACACAAAAGAAAGAGGAGGCGCAGAGGAGAGGCAAGAGCGATGAGAGTATATACCCATTTCGCTGAGTGGAGCAGGGAAAGGATGGAGTTCCTCAAGTAATTTAGTGGTTTCTGGTTCAAGTGGTCTCTTGTCGACCATTTGCGAGAACAAAAATGATAATGCAAGTAAGAGTAATTGTTTGGAATGAAGGAAAGGTTATGAGATGGTGATGAAATTTATACATAGCAAGTACAGCGAGAGGGATGACTCGAAGGAGCAGGGCCCTAGGCCAAACTCCAGAATAAGGTGAATTAAAAAATGATAGTACACATTGTATGAAATCTTGGCTACAATTCACTGTGATGAAGACGATAATGTCCTCACCGCAACAACGGCTCAGAATAATAGAAAATCAGGATCAACTTACCACCAAATTCACGATCTGACATGGTGATCGCTATCTCTCCGAATTCGTGGGGTATGCCTAGGTGATCTCTCGCAATCAGGCGGCAATGTGCTTTTTGAAGTATTTGAACTGAATTTGTTTAGTTGCCTTTCTGTTGTGTAAGGCTTGAGTTGTAAAGAAAGTTGATATGGTGAGGTTGTGAATTGTGACGACAGCTTGGCCTTGTGGTTGCACTCACTTTTTGGGGGAGGGCGCAAGGCTTTATTTATGCACCAAAGCTGAATGCGGCAATGCACGTGACGAAAGTGAATCACTCGTAGAATTGGAATCACCAAAAACATCACCATGGAGAGCTTTGAATGTTTCATCGCTCCCAAATACGGGTCTTGAATGCTCAATATTGGTGGTTCTTCTGAGGCCACATTCGTGCAAATAAAACTGTCCTGAAGATATATGTCCCACCCATGACCATCACTCCAAAAAGCCAACTGTGTCATTCCAGGTTCGTCATCAATTTTTCACGACTCACATTTATCTTGCAGGACCCGTATAGGTATGATGTTCATTTTACATTGTTTTTTGTTTTACATCAACTATACATAGTGTTCCTACAGAGCTCAAAGCTATCAAAAACTCCAGGGTATACCCGCTGAATATTTGCCCGTTGAATATTATACACCGCAAATAATCCCACACCCATCTGCATATTTCAGGCAACGGACTGTGGTATCTTAATCTTTCCACGATCACGGTCATCAAGTGGCGCACCATAACGCCAACCAATACCAGTGTATCCTCTTCCGTCCTTGCCGGCGGCATCGACGTTGACTTCGGTGAACCTGAATTCCCATCGGCCTCGATCTACCTTCTTGACCTTGGACTCGAGAAAGGCTTGTTTTTGGGCAGCCTTTTGTCTCTTTGCCTCGACAGCAGCCTCGCGTTCATCGTTTGCTGCACTTCTTTCCTCCTCGGACATACCCGACAGGTATTCTCGGTGTTGAATCACCAAATCAGGATGTGGTATTCGCTCGTCGGCAGGTAAGAGCTTCTCGTTGAACACCTTAGCAGCATCAGCACGAGTGAAATGTCGCGACTCGGATGTAGGGTGGAATATTTGTTGTCCTGTAGAAGTATGAACAGGTAAATCATTGATCGACTCGTGTGGTCGTTTATTGTCGAAGGGTCTAAATGACCCATCTTGATTTCTATAGTAGTGGGTTTGAGGAAGCATCGACATGACCGCGTGGGCGTATGGCATCGCAAGTGGTTTCCCCTGTCAGGAAGTTCTGTTAGCAACAGCTTCTAACAGTATCGCAAAGTCAAAGTGGAGGAAATGGAGGACTATCAGAGAGGCTCGCATGCGTAAATTTTGTAACCATGTAGTTGTCTTAAAGACTAATCGATTTTTTTATAATATCATCAGGAAGTCGCGAGAAAGCAAGGAAAAGGATGGACAACTTACAATTTTCTTCCAAGCCAGCTCTACCTCCCTCAGCCGGACAACAGCACCCACACGAGCCATCTCAACCTGCAACTCCACACTGACCTCTCTGACCGACTTGCCCTCCAGCATAATCCGTCGCCATATCTGGTAGCGGATGCGCTCGCTCAAGACAGGTTCGCTAATGAATTGTGGATTAAGGGGATATGGAACTCTGTCTCTTGGCGTCTCTGGGGGCAATTCTCTCTCTCCGAATTTGCCTCGCGACTTGCCTTCGTCCCCGTCTGTTTTATCGTTGTTGGTGTTGGGGGAACGATCGACAAGTCTCTTCAGTTTGCCTTCTTTATTATAAGCCCCAAGGTAATTCGTGGATAGTGGCAACGGATTCCGCAGAGCCTCTCCTTGTGATGTCAGCCATCTGAAAAGGCCTTTCCGCGCTCGTGTGATCCTCTGCTCTTGTCGGAGCGTCGTAGAAAACGAACGCGACGACGGTGCTGCGCTACATAGCTGCTTCGCACAAGGGACGGACCTCGAGAGTGAAGAGGCCACGAAGGGCGGCATCTCGAAAGCCAATTGTGAGGATGGTGACAGGAAACGCAATAAAGCGTTCTGATGGTTTTGGAATGGAAAAGGTCGAGTGGAAGATCCACGTCTTGAAGAAATTTTGCGGAGCTACAATTTAGCGTCGTTTTCACTAATCACGTGATATATTTCGTCACGTAATGGAAATATAGGTACGGACCTCGGGGGTACCTATAGTAGGTAGCAGTGGGTAGGTATAGGTACTCAAATTGCTTAGTGAGGATATATATATCTTCTCTATCAGTTATTAGAGCCATAGCTTGAATTATTTGGTCTGCAAATTACCAAGGTACAGACTACAGACTAGGTCAATTTAACATATTATTCGATTTCATTAATTTGCCCTATTTGACCCCCCTCCACTGCCTAGCATCCCATCACATTGAAGTCATAGAAATCCCATCCTCAAACTCCTCAGATTCAAAATTTCATATCACTTCTTCTCATAATACAACAAATCACTCCATCTCCCTTTTGACCCTCAAAAATCCTGAATCCCCGTCTCCCCACCCGTCCCCTCCCCCGCCTTCTCATCCTCCCCCACAAAACTCGGTTCCTCGTCTTCAAACCACTCCTCCTCCTCCTCCGTCCGTTCAATGACATCCCACTCGNCTCCCCCGCCTTCTCATCCTCCCCCACAAAACTCGGTTCCTCGTCTTCAAACCACTCCTCCTCCTCCTCCGTCCGTTCAATGACATCCCACTCGTCGCTCTCATCCACAGCCCCATACTCAAAATCCGGATCTCCGCCCTGCAAGAAGCGGATCGTCATCTCAAATTTCCACCTTTCTAGGCCTTCTTCTCTGTCTTTTGGGTCTTCAGGGTCGAGAGTGCCTACATAATTCACATAGGGAAGAGTTTCGTCTTGATTTTGAGATGTTGGGGGATTGGGTGGCTGAGAGGAGGTAGATGGAGTGGATGGGTGGGGATTTTGGGGTGAGCATGAAGGGGGTGCGTTTTGACTCTGACGGACGGCGGCGAGTTTGGCTTCTGAGCGGTAGAGATCTGCTTCTAGCACGCCGGAATACCCTTTTTGACGGCCGTCTGCTTCTCTCTCTGCTGCAGTTTGGAATTTCCTTATACATTGGTCATAGAGAAGGGGATCTAATGTAATTCGTTAGCTCAATTCATCAATACAAATTGAAAAGGCCAGACCCGTGAACCTACCAAGGAGTTCTAGGTCAGGTGACGTGAAATATGATGGATTTCTGTCGAGATACAGTTTTCTTCTGTTCTTGATGCGAATCTGAGGGGGTATTGAGTGAGGGTGTGAGGCTGATGAGGAAGCTGTCTGTGGCTCTGGCGTTGGAGAGAGCATGAGGGGCATGGTGGCGAAGTCGGGAAGTCGACGGGAAGTCTGATGTTAGAGCTTGACTCTGTTCAGAGTAGTCCGTATCAAGACAGCTTCGGGAGATATAAGTCGAGTATATTTGAGACGATATTGTGAGTCGCTAGTTCTGATGGGCGATGTTGTAAGAGTTGTATTGTTGATGCCAAGAAACGACTTTGAAATAGATTCGACCTCGGCTCGCCGCCACCTTTTTCATACATACCGTACAATAATTTTACTCGCCTACGATAAACTTCAAACTCACATACCTCCATCCCAAAACAAATCCCTCATTCAAAATGAGTGCAACAAACTCTATCCCCTCCTCATCCACCCTTCCCTCACCACCATTCATAAACATTCCAAACATACCCAACTTTCGCGACCTTGGCGGCCATCCCCTCCCCACCTCCTCTCACACGCCAACAACCATAAAACCAGGGCTAATATACCGCTGCGCCGAGCCCTCAGGCGTTACTCAAGAGGGAATTGCAAAATTGAAAGAGCTCGGTGTCACACACGTCTACGATTTACGATCCGACAATGAGATAGAACGTAGTATTGCTGCGGGGAGAGGAGGTGTAGTAGAGTGGGATGGATGCAAGAGGGTATTTGTGCCTGTGTTTCCTGATAAGGACTATGATCCTGAGGCTTTGGCTGTGAGGTTCAAGGACTACTCTACCCTGGGCACTGAGGTATATGAAATTTTCTCTCTTGAATATGAATTTGGGGTTGAAGCTCTGTCGCAGGGGATTATGCGGCGAGAGCAGAGAAGTGAAATGTGTAGATGCTAATTTTGATAGGGGTTTAAAAGAGCTTATACATCTATTCTAAAGAATGCCGGACCTTCTTACGGACCGATATTTCTACATCTAGCGAATGAGCCTGAGAAACCTCTTATTGTCCATTGTACAGCTGGCAAAGATAGAACCGGGGTCTTCTGTGCTCTGATTCTACAATTATGCGGTGTCGGCGATGAGCATATTGCGCAAGAGTATTCCCTGACTGAGATTGGGCTTTCGAAAGAGTGGAAAGAGGCTGTCATAGAGCATCTGTCTGAGCATCCTGCTCTTAAAGGAAACATGGAGGGGGCTTGGAATATGATAAGTTCTAAGTATGAATTCTTCAATTTTTCTTTCCTTGGACTTTTCACTGACCAGGGTCTCTATAGGACTGAGAATATGCTGGCAACATTGCAAATCATCCGAGAGAGATTTGGCGGGCCGGAGAAGTACATGACTGATATTTGCGGTCTCACGAAAGAGCAGGTAGAAAAGATTCGATCGAATTTGACTTATCAAACTTAAAACAAGTCGCCAATATACATAGCTAGACCATATGTACACATATGTACATATGAATGATAAACTTTTAAGTAGGGTGGTCTGTACCAAACGCAATTCAACCACCAACCGATCTCCCCATCGATTCTTCGTCATTCGCTTAACTCAATGGGAAGATTGGGCTACTCCAGCTTTCACCAGCAGCAATCAAAGCACTGTCAAGACCTTCCGCTCCTTGACTGATATAGAGTGTCTTTGTGAAACTCACACGCGTATAATATTTATAAGGAATATATGCAGGGATGAAAACAACGTCTCCTTGCAACAAGCTCACAGTTTCGCCCTCCAATTCAACAATCAATTGGCCCTCGAGAACTTCAAAAGCAGCATGCCCATCGAAAGACTGGGCGACAGACGTACTGTTCTTCGTTTCCTTCGCAATAGTAATGGTCGACAACGTGAAGGCCCCATCGGATTGAGCTGGTGTGACAAATGGCTGTACAACTTGATATGCGGCCTTACTGTTCAAGATTTTTGGCCCGAAATCCTTGGCAACGAAGTATGGTTTTGTAGCGTCTTCTGCGAGGGCATTCGGCCCGGTTCTCCATGTGGAGTTTACTGGGGCAAAACCATTAACATCGTCCCGCCGTGGTGCGTATGCTAGTTCGGCAAAGACATCGAAGCGTTGAAGAGAGGAAGTAACGTTTGCTGGTGGGGGGCTACCATCTGCTGCTGTAGGATCATACGGAGCGCTTTTGGAATTGAAGTTTTCGGATGCGAGAGCATAGAAGAGAGTTCTGTGGTATGATTAGTGACATGATCAGAGGCATTCGTACAACAGAACTTACTCAAATCCACCGGGTGAAATGACGCCAACCATCTCAGTATCCGGATCCAAGATCTGGAAAGTGTGGGTGGTATTGATAGGCACTGCTCCATAATCTCCAGGAGTTAGAACTCTCGTCTCCTCAACCCCATCCTTATTGGTCCAAAGTTGAAATCTGCCCTTGTAATTGAAGAAGTTCTCATAATGAACTTCGTGTCTATGAGGCAAAACACCTAGGTCGGTAGATTCAGGAGCATTCGTTGCGATCAAGGTGAAAGCATTATCGGAAGAAGGTCCAGTCACTGGAAATCGATAATATTGTTTTCCAATGACACATCCGCCCGCATCGTAATGATTTATAGCATATGGACGGACGTGATCGGGCACAGTATCAACCCAGATCGTAGCAGTACATGCTTGAGCGAAAGCAAGGACTGTAGCACCAACAACCGACTGGAGAGTGTACATGATTACAGACAAGTGAGCGTTTGAAGTCAGAAGAGAGGAAAGAAGGTGGATGAGAGAACAGGAACAAACAGCACTACAAGTTCAACTTTATATATCACGATTCTTGGTTCCGCAGCTTTGCAGCTCAAGACTGGGGTAACGCGGTAATAGGTGGATACAGCCGTCCATTTTGACCCTAAACGTTAGACCTTAACCTGATTTCCTGGGGTCGTGATGATTGATCATGGAAAATCCTGCTATGTTCGTGCTGGAAGGATGGAGATTACATAGAGTGCTGAATTTAAAGCGGGTTCTGGACCGCGGGGTGCATAGGGTGCGTAAGTGGACGCAGGTGGACGGATAGAAACGTGGGGAGCGTTGAGAAATGTCCACTTCATACATTTGCGCGCCTTGCCGCTTCGAGTTACATTTATCTCGGAAACCGAGGACGGTATTCCTGAAGGGCCTGTAGATAGGACCTCACACAAGGATACTAGCGGGGGAGGATTCGTAAGGATATATCCGAGGTTATCCTTATAGCGAGGGTCTTGGTGCAGATGGCGACGAGGTCGAAAGTTTGAATACTAGGAATATATAATATAGTGCCTAGCAATGCTTATATATGATTATCAATCCCGTAGATTTTAATAATTGGCTTCTTTAATTGCTAAGGCTGAAAGTCGGGTTGTTTTGTGTATGAGAACCTAAACGTCCAAGGATATCATATCCCCGAGGTTATCCTGTAGCATTCTACCTAAGAAGAACAGGATTCCAAATCCAAGGATACTCGAGTATTATTGAGGATATCCTGTCCGTATTTGAGAGAATTGGGCATATTCCACGCTGATTATCTCCCAAGTATTAGGAATGTTGTGGAAAATAAATACGGTAGAGCTAGTAATCCAGTAAACCAACTATTCCCACGAGTTATCCCCGATGATTTTCATCATATCAAAGCCAGAAAATCCAACACAGCCCTTTTCGATCTCTTGAAACATAAAAATACGACCACCTGGAAACGAAGAATTGACCGGAGCTCATAGCCAATCGAGGTTTCTATGTCGGGCTGGTGCAACCTTCTATCTCAAACATAGCCCTAGTGACGCACGCCTTTTCTTAGAAATTATCCTTATTAAATTTGTGGACGGTTGACGCAACATTATTCCATCTTTTCCTTTTTCCCCCACACTTTCTGGGGAGTTGATGTTAACCGAGATCACGAGCCGAACCGAAATGTGCCGCATTTTATCCCGTGAGTTCTCAAGACATTATTAGTCGGTTCTTATAATTTAGAACTTTGATGAACTCCTTTATAATTGCTCTGAGGTAATTGACAAGACATAGGATTATTTCAGTTCCCTGGATCCTGCGAAGTGAAATTCGGTTTCTTCGTGAAAATTTGTGGCTTTCTCTCGTCAAAGTTGAAGCAAGACTAGTTAATTTGAAAAGGGAAACATCATAATGTTTATATATAGCCCCTTTACAGGTCAGAAATCCGCTCTTGAGTCATTATAGCAAGATATTGTTCTCATTTAATAAAAGAAGCGGAGCTGTTCCATGTCCGCCATACGACATTCGCCTCTGGAAGGCCCCCAAGAAATTACTGGGTCTGCCAGAAATGCAGGATTTATATTCCATGTGCAACGGCAATTTAAGACAACAACAAGGCAACAGATATTCGAGCCAACCATTTTTGAGATCAAAAGAGCCGATGGCGTATGGAGGATATATATTCGGAAGTAGCAGAAGCTTTCGACAGTGAACGTTTCGATCGTGGAATGGTCTTACGGTCAACAGTATTTACTTGAAACCACAGTTCTTTACAATCACCACAAACTCTGTGTAGTGTATGTACATGCTGGTAGACATACCTTTACGGAAGAGTCAAACAAAACTCTTGTAACTCTTGTACAAACTACTATTATTCATTGATTCATTGTTGGTCAGTGGTGCGTTTGTGATCAGTTGGGTCGGAGAGAGTATCTGTCTCTATAAAAGGGCCCCGGATGTGAGTCTGCGGCTAGACCATGACCCAAATGTGGAAGAAGATATTACTTCCTCCACATTCGCTATTGATACCGCGAAATTGATAAGAATGACTTGAGGCATTGAAGCGGAAAGTTACGACCGCTCTGCACTTCCCAGGTTAAGGTAGAACAGTTTGAGAAACCTGTAAGCAATTGTGTTGAACACAATAGTCAGGACTATATGCCTCAGAGAAAACAGGTGAAGAGCAGGTTCTGCCGGGAGTGTTTCCAAGTATTATTCTCCCCGCCGCCATGTTGACAAGAACTTCTAGCGATCGAGCACATGTATTCTAGGATCAAATTATTGCGCTAAGTAAAAGAAACACACAGCGAAATATAAGAACAATTTCAAGACTTCGAGGGAGCAGAGAGACACAGAGCCTTATCCTAGAAACCCTCAATCTTTTTCTCGTTCGATGCTTCGTTCAGTCAACGATTCATATATACTGTAAGGATGAGCGAGATGCTCTGGTACGCTGTCTTGAAGATATACTAAAAGGATCGAGGTTAAAGGATTATCATAAAGACTACATACATACTATGTGCTGCCAACAGCAGAGCTTCACTGCCTACGGCACTCCCCCCTTTTGATTCAACTTCTTGACCTGGTACCCGGATATTGTGTATTGGACGCCATTAATGGCCCCATAGATAAAAAGATGGCGGATAGTTATATCTAAGAGATGTAGTATGCCTTAACATGCATATGTCTCTATGCTATCGGCTAACTAACATCAATTATATGGTAGCTTTATGATAACTAATTACTCGAGCAGTACGAATTCATTCCAGAACAATTCCCCAAAACCCTTCTTAACTGAGCTCTGGTTTCAGGTATATTTATTCTTGAACCACTGCTCATAGTTCCAACAGAAAATATGCCAGACAAATTCGATGCCCAACAAGACTATTCCAGCAGAGAAAAGTTTCGCAAATTCTAGGATAGATATAAAGCCATCTTCAAGGCTGCGGAATTTGAAGCACAACGAACTCGCAATCCCCAGTGAATAGAGACGATAACCGAATAACAGAGAACGAATTGAAAACATTCGACAGCAAGCTCTTCATCAACAGTAAAAGCTTTTTTCAGAAAGAGGCAGAAGTAGGAGATATATTATCCGCAGTCGCAAGTAGATGATTTATGATTTAGTGGCAGAGCGTCTGATACTGTGTACTAGGAGCAGGCCCTTCGTGGGCTTCAAGTGTCAAAGCATTTGACAGTTCACACAAGATCTGCAATATTCGACTATGTCTTTGTGTCTGGTCGGCCAGTAGAATCTGCCGATTGCCTGTCTCAGCGACATCTTGTGAGCGTAGTTAGAGACACTTTATCTATCCGGACTGAGTTAAGATACGCGTGAATATAGCCGCATACATCAAGCATCAACCATTGAAAGCCTCGTTATTAAAACAGCGTCTGACTCCACAACATAATTCGTCAACAATATCATTCCAATCCCCTCCAGCTCCTCAATACACAACCCCATTCTATTAATTTCCATCTGTTTTCTTTTGCTAAGGAATCTTTCCCCTGCCCAAAGTTTCCTGTACTTCTACACTCATTGCGGCAGTGAGATCCTCACAAAGATAGCTAATCTTGTAACAAAGGGATATCAGTCTTCTCAAGTTCCACCAGAGAGGACCAAAAACATGTAGCTACCGAGTGGCTTGAAAGTGCTGAGCTGGGAATCTTGCTAAGAAGCGTTGCCATAAATTTGGTAATACATTTATAAGAAGATTCTAAAGCTGGTGTATATGTCCGTAGGCAACAGTACGAAAGTCACGCAGCAAAGTTTCAGGTATGAGGAGAGTGGAAAACATCTTTCTCGACACTTTGCATCAAAGGGTAAAAACCAAACTGAAGTACGCGTCGGGTGAGGGAATAAGATCAATGCTAATGTATCCATGTCCGTACGCATGAATCGCCGACTCGCTGCATTGATTCATGTGGAAAATCTAGAAGTATGTACCCGAGGTCATAATGGCCTTTATCCTAAACGCCTGGCCCTCATCAAAACCCAACAATATTACCTCCCTGCCGTATCAAGTCATGATATACCCTAGCCGTGCCTCCCGTACAAACTCCGAAAGAAGGTATCCCTCTCATACACCCATCGTAAAGTCATGCTCGATACCTGGCGTGACACTTGCCATAAACTGTTGAGATTAGCATATATATTTCGAGTACTGCATATAGGAAAACCTACCTTCAAGAAGACAATCAGGTATTGATCAACCCGAATTGCTACCTCTTCATCAAGATCCGGGGCCTCATGTTGCAACACTTCCCATTCATCGTTTCCGTTTCCCCCGGCCTTCATTCCCTCAGCCACCGCTTTCTTACCTTCGTCACTCAAGGTTGTCTTGCCGAAATCATCAACCAAGCCTTCCATACCAACATCCTTAGCGCCCGTCGCAATCTTGCCTTTTCGCATCTTCTCTCTTCTGATTTTGAGTGCTGCATCGGCTCGATCTAGAAGGGTCTTCATGACGCTTGCGTGTTTGCAAGGATGAACAGAGGCCATCTTGATGTTATTGCTGAAGTATGGGAAGTCCTCTAAAGTAACTGTCTTGTCCTTGTAGTCTCCAACAATATCTTCCATCATGAGTTGTGGATCAAGTGGCTGAGAGTTGGCGAGGTATCCCGAAAGGTAGAGTCTTGGAGTTCGGTAGTAGGGTGTATATGCGATGTAGAGGGTGTATGTTCGACGGGATCTGCATCAAATATATGGTTAGCATGGTCGTATGTAAGTGTGAAGTCTTTTGGGTTGTACATACGAATCAGCACCATCAGCCTTTGGATCTCGGATGATGGCATCCTCATCATCATCGTCCTCCATATCTGGGATCTCGTCCTCGTCCTCTTCTCTCTCACCCATGTTTCCACTCTCATCCACTGTTCTCACATCCCGGGCGCGTGCTTCCTGACTTGCCGCGAGACCGCCAGTTCGTAGCCAACCATCTTCATCATCGCCCGGTGAATGTCCACCCGGGTTCTTGAAGTCTTCTCCATCGCCGACCATGGCCTCATCCTGACCAGCATCTCCTGCGAAGTTCTCGTCGAGTCTGCGGTGACATGGGACACCTCGAGTCACCAGGAACTGCTTGCCCTCGGGAAGGTAGCTCACTCGCTTGCTTGTTGGAGAAGCATCAGCCCACGACCAGGTCGGAAACATGTAGACCAGATAATCGCCCGCTGCCACGAACTCTTCTGGTGTGATCTGTCCATTTTGACGGAAGGTCGAGGTGTGTGAGACGGGAGCCCACTCTCGCACCTTATCGAGGGTGCTGTGTAGGAAGTTCATCGTTTGGCGGGGTCGTTTGGTGTGTTGATTTGTTCGTGAAAGGGGTCGAGGGTTATGCGATGTACTGCAGGATTTGACTTGTGGTTCCGGAATAGGTTGGAAGTCTACGGAACGGCAGATTTTGTGACGTGTGTTGTGGTGATTGTGTTGAGAGGAAGGAGACTCCTCGTCTTGTACAAAGGATGACGCTGAAGCCTCGCGACGACCCCTCCACGGTTTGGTCCCACTTTTAGAACGCGGCACGTGATTCTAACAAGTCACGAGGAATTCACCAGTGACTCAATATGAAACCTCTTAGAATGCTGGGGAAGATGTATGAATAAGATTCACTGGGTTCTATAATTTTATCGTCACTCCGTAGTCCTTACTTGGTACTCATACTTAGGGATGGACTATTTTGACCTTGCCAAGATTTTTCCTCTAGCCGTAACCACGTTCACAACCACTTCATTAATTTCAGGACGTCAGAGCTTTCTAGGGCCTCAAATATGATACTTGCAATTCAGCTAACGAAAGTCTTCTATTCATAGTTGTTGACTTGGAGGCAGCGACCATTCTGGGATCAATACTCCGAAGGAAAGATTGTGTATAATTGATGTAGAGCTGTCGCAAAAACGCATATCATTTTGAACTAGCAATTAATTTCGTGAAGACATTACTTGGAAGAAGACATTCACATCATACATATAGATTTATAGAAATTAATGATAGCTATCTTGTTGAGGAGAATATGAAGGGGAGAGGGGAGAGAAGTAACAAACCATGTTAAGCGAGGTTTGGCGAAAGGGCTCAACTCCCGACTCAAATGCAATAAGCACATCGATAGAAAACAATAATACCGGGTACGGATTACACTCTCCTCTAATGAGATTATCCCGGGTATAACACATAAGAGGCTAGTTACTTTTCAGCATTCTGGCTTCCTTCGTAATATTAATTGCAAAAACATCTAGTGATGCATACTACCATTCTCTAAAGTTTCCCCGACTGTTGAGAGAAGCTTAATGAAAGGCACGGAAGGCTTGGTATAGAGGCGAGATTTGTGTCTTCATGTTGCGCTCGCTTTCATAAGCCGCTCTTGTTGACCACCTCTCCTTGTCACCTACAGAAACTACCAGAAAGAAAGCACCTTCCTCTCATTTACCCACATCAGCCCTTTTCGCCTATGCCTTTCACTTTCAATAGATTCAAAAAGCCGAGGTCCTTCGATCAGTAAGACGTCGTCCAACACAGAGGAACTATCCAAGAGACGTGGGCCACTCACTCCCAAAACCACTGCCGAGACCCGATACCTTAAACAGTGCGCTTGACTCAAAAGCAAGTTCGCTTTTTGGAATACGGACCTTTCCTTTCTTTCTCGTCACTTAGTAACACTTCCTCTACCTTCTGGCGGTTCTGCTGTCGAACAGATTTCTAGTGTCGAATTCGGTAGATTTATCATTCTCGAGTAAGTAAGAGTTTGTTCACCATCTTCTTACTCGTAATCCGAGATTTCCATCTGGCTTGCTCGGAAACTCTTCTGAAGGCTTTTCAAGGGCTCTAGACATTAGTTCTGGGCCGGGAAGAGTAGCCAGCGTTGTTAGAAGAGGAAGAGGTCTGCTGTGTCTGTTTCGTCTGATGCTTATTTTATTTAACTAGAAGAGTTGAGTTCTGGATTTCGTGCATTTTACAAAGGTGAAATGAGACTGAGGAGACCTTTATATCGCTTGAGGTGACTAACATGATTCAGCACTGTTGTTAGGGTCTCATCTCCACAGAGTGCTTTGGATTATGGAAGACTTGCCCTTGACGTGTTTGTAATGGCGAATCAGTCCTACGTTATGTGCGGCCTTCGGAGCGAAATCTGAACCATCTAGGAGGATATTACACACAGATACTATCTTTCAGTAATTGGATCGTGATTTCTACAAGGGATTCATAATCATTCCCGATATGATGCTGTTTCAGTACCATGCTAAAGGCAGTATAGTCATTGCAACTCAACTGGCGACGAAACCCTGGGGGCATGTTCCAATTCCATGAGCGTCTTACTATATATACATTATACTCTGTGACGTTTTGACGCAAGTTCGGTATAGCTGGTTTGGAAAAGTCACTTCCCTTTGCTAGTAAGCTTTGAATATTTCAAATAGCTTCTTACGAGAAGTTTCATTATCCCCCCCCCCCATCAGCCACAAATGTTCACAAGATTCCTTAGCGACGTCTCAAAGTACGCGAGCTACTCACACATTCCAAACCTGCTTACCTCTTGCTGTCAAAACTTATGCTGTCACCGAATATTTTCTTTCAGTTGTGAGAAACAAATCAATTGAGGGTCCTGGATCAAATACACTTTCAATTAAAAATGTCCCGCTTGAACTCGAATTTGGCGTAAATATTCCCTAAAGTGCCGTAAGGAGCAGTATAACAGGGAATTGCATATTGAAACAAAAAAAAATAAAGGATGTCTAAGAATGATAAATATATAATACAGGACTCTGAACAAGATTTTAGAATGTTGAAAAGTGATATAGCAAAATGCAAAACAAAACAAGGACGATATAAAGAAAATAAGCAACATCAGAGATACTCGAGCCCCTCTATCCAACAACACAGTAAGCAACCAGAATCCAAAAGGTAACAAAGGTCGAAGACGGAATTTCAGCAAACCATCTAGCAGTTATCACCACCAGCAGTAATACCCATAATCGCACCCAAACCTCCAGCAACCGCACTGAAACCACCAGAAGAGACAGCCGCACCAGCACTCAAAATAGCGCCCAGAATATTCTTCACACCAACACTATCCTTCCTACAATCCTTCCCAGAATAGACTTTTATCACGACAGTATCCCGATCATCCCAATCGAGGACTTGTTGATCCGCAACCTGAATCTGCACCAAGATCTCCTTAGGAAACGTGATAGTATGTTTACAAGTTCCAAGGACCTTGTTGCCAGAAGGATACTTGATACATTCTCCCAAGGTATCCGTGGCATAGATCTTAGCATTCAACTGGTTCTTCAACAGATCCGCAACTTTATCAATGCGATCCTCCTCAAAGTTGAGATCTCCATCCTTCTCAGACCGGCGAACAGTGAAAGTCATATAAGCGCCCGAGTTACCGAGAGGGTACCGGGTATCGTCCGCTGCATTGTTTGCCATGTGCGTCTTCAAGTTTCCGAAAGCTCCGTCCACGACGGTGGCGATATATCCATCTCTCTTTGGTTCATGGACCTCCTTACCCGTCAGGACAATCTTTTCGGTATTCTCGTAGACCGTGAAGAATGTACGGCGGATTTGACGTTCTTCCCGAGTGCAATAGTAATTGGCATAGCACTTCTGATACATCTTATCACCGTAATCCTGATTGATATCATAATCCGCATTGGCGTAGCAGCGGAATCGGGCTCCTCCAAACATCGCGTGGCCTGCAGTGTTGGCAGTCTTGTCTCCACGTTCTGTGATACCCCAAATTGTGACGGCTTTCTTGTCAAGTTGACCTTTGATGGGATTCTCGTATGTGCCAGTGGTCCAGTCGATGGAATGTTCTTTGGGACCTGGATTCGACGGGAAACATTCGTCGTCCTGGTTTTTGGCGAGAACGGCGTTGTTGTAGTCTTTGTAGTAGAAGAGCTTGTCACTGCTTCCGCTGGCTGAGGCGTCTTTAGCGTTCTTCACGTATTTGCTGCATTTCACGAGAAAGATGGCTTCGTCGGCTCGGACTTCCTCTTGACGTGGTTCGAGGTCTGGAATTACTGCTGCGATGGCTAGAGGAGAAAGAGCAAGGAAAATGGTTGCGAGATCGTTGAAATGCATTTTAGAAGAAAAATGGAATCTAGATAATGAGAGTTTTTTGTCTTGAAGTAAACTTGGATGTTGGGAAAGAGTCAAGGGAATTGAACTAGCAATCTGGGTCGATGATGGCAAATTAGGGAGGAAATACATGACATATATATATCATTCTTGAAAAGCATAGGAGCACTTTTTCAATGCCAATTACAGCTATGAATGCCAACGATTGAGCTTATCGTCAGATGAGACGTTACAATACGAGAAACATTGCTGTAGGAACATTGTAGTTCACGGGTTTTGTCGGCGACCTCGATGAAGTTGAAGCATGTTCTTCGGATTTGCCGTTGATTTCGGCTTGGCATTTGCAGTTGGTAAAATTTTAGTATCATATAAGTTCCTAATTGAACATTAACAAGCGGGGAGGTACATACAGTGATTTTAAAGGCGCTTGCTATTGGACGAATGTAATTGTGCTGACATGTTTCAGCAGTGGAAGGAGCCTGCATTACTTCATCTTGGCTGGGGCTGGTGTTACTGGCAATTTACCCAGTAACGACAAGGAGATAGCACCTAGAAGCACTACCTACAAGGAAGCTGAGCTTCGAGAAGCAGAGGCTGCATATTCTTCTGCAGCTTTGCTCAAGTGCTTGTTTACCGAGTACGCGAATCAACGTCGAAGTATCGGAAGAAATTTCTTGGCGAATATGCTTCAGCTTGCTCCAAGCGCCACATTTCAGGCTGTGCACCTGCCAAACGAAAGAGCGAGAGATTCTTCGCCTGGAGCTGTATGGACTTTCAGCAACGTTTGGGGAATTTGAAGGTCTGTGGTGGAGCCCGCTTACAGCCCTATAACGTCGCCGAGAGGTCGCCGAATACCACACGTGCTTTGTACACAAATTGGCTTTTAGTGCCTCAAAAGGAAAAAGACAATGTGAACAAAAACATCGAGATAGTAATCGCAAAATATGATTTTTGGCAGAAGGAATGCTGCGTATGACTCATTAAATTTATTTCCCCCTTCTATATTGTATTATATTATATCAAGCTTTAGTACAAACGTTCCATCCAACTTTTTTAATCCGTGATGCGAATATAAGCACTGCAGCTATTGCGTTGCAAGCTCCACAAAATGCCGCTGGGCCTATCCACCCTTTTTTCAACAACAGCCCCGCAACGGGGTTCCCAATTAATGTACCAAATGCTCCAAATGCGTAGCTCATTCCCATATGAGTACCGACGAGAGACAAATCTGGTGATAGAGTGGCCAACGCTGGCCCAGTGACTGAAACAAAAGTCCCACTGAAGAAACCATAAAATAAACAGAACAAGATGAGAGTAGCCAAACTATGGATGGAAGTCCAGGAAAATGATATAATCGAACAGAACAGAACAAATGGGGCGATAATATTTATCGGGCCAATTGTGTCTGCGAAGAAGTTCGGAATCAGGCGACCTAGTACACTTGCCGCATTGACGATTGAAAGAATGTAGATGCTGAGATCTCCGTTCACAATCCCCTTTTCAACGGCGTAAGTAGTGATGTAGTAGAATGGGATATACATCCCCGTAAAACCAAAGAAAGATCCGACAGAAAACAAAGTCCACGGTACATTTCGTAGTACTTTGAAATCCGTAAATGGGCGTCTTTGACTTGGGAAGACTTTGGCTCGCATGACTGAAACTGGAATCATGAGAGTTACAAGCATCATGAATGCTAGTACTCTTGTCGCCCAAGGGAAGCCAATACGCGGTTGAAGTTGACGAAACACAATTGGATAAATCACACCACCTAAGAGCAAAATAGTCAGTCAGCGAAGAATGGTGCAGGGACACCATGTACATACCAACAGAACTGCCTGTCGCGGCTATGCCAGTCGCAAAAGCCACTCGCTTAGTAAAGTATTGTGGCATGACTGCTACGCTTGGAAGCATAAGAGAACCAGCCCCTGCCCCGACCAAGAACCCTTGTGCTAGAATGAATTGCCAATACTCTGTACAGAGACTTGTCATAAACATCCCAAGGACACAGCAGAACGACCCCACTATAACCAATCCGCGCATGTACCCTGCGTCGTAAATAGGACCAGTGATGATGCCACCGACCAAAAGAAGTAGAAATGCCTGGACGGATCCGATCCAAGATATTCGAGAAGAGGTTTCATCTCGCAAAATGCCATTTTCGTAGTAGGTTTGGAATGCACCAAATGTATTTGCTATTCCCCTGCCCAGCGAAATGTGTTAATATGACTTCCATGAGGTCGAAGGCAATGTGTATAGAAAACGTACCAAGAATTAAACATTAAAAAAAAAGCACCCAAAACTTGCAAACAAGCTGTAGACGTCTCGTCGCGCGTCTTCGGTTTGACAATGTCGGCTTTTTCATTATTTATGTTCGTAACATGTTGCCCTCTCTCCAAGCTGTCGTCGTTTTCCGAGCTTCCATTCTGGTATGCCATATTGATAGAGAGCTGGGTTGAAGGCTCCGTCCCAGAAGGTAGGGAATTAATCCCTTAAGTACCTCCTCTGGTCTCTGTTGAGAGAGACTGAAGATATGTACGGAGTACGTACACAAACGAACGGATTTCTTACGAGTGCGATAGATGGGTACAGTTCGAACGCTTTGATGCGACCTTGATCGATGCGACTCTAGGTATGTTACCGGCAGTTCGTCAAAATGGGTCGTCCTTCGCATATGTGGGTCAATAATGAGGGACGATGTTCGCTGGAAAAGAAAATCGGTGTCGCTATTCTCTTATGTGGATCAATTTAGGGATGATTTTCGCTGGAAAAGAAAATCGGTGAACGGGCGCGATCAACATTATAATTATTGTGGCTATTCTCTCGTATTGTTCAGAGTGTGGGAGGCGAAAGCAGTATTTATGGGCTTCAAAAAATTAGATCAACAGACGAACGAGAGTGCGGCTCACACGGCATCATCCCTACGATATCGACGAGGCGAATCATCACAATCTGTTGATATGGCGATATGCACTTCGGAAGTAAACAGTCGTGTACTGAGTATTTCGTGAACGATTTCCAGGGTTTGGCTGAAGAAACAAACCCGGTCTGAGTCAAGTGGCAGGGTAAAGGGCCTATCAGATCCGCATAAATCCTCATCCGACGTGGAAAATCTCACGTGATTACCACGGCACTTCATAAGAAACCTTGAAGACGTCGAGAAGAATTTATAGAAATGATTGACAGCAAGGTTTAAATTTCAAGACGACAATGACGCGAGGGGTGGTTCGGTTCTCGCTTGCGCAAAAAGGAGGCTCAGGAGACACAAAACTAGAATGTACTCGGTACGTTTGTGTAGGACAACTTGGAAAGAACTAGAAACCATTCACCACAAAGAGCTTGGGAATCATGACATGTCAAATGGCAGTTCTAACTCAGGAATCACGGATTTGTGCTTCGCCATCTTCTGGAATGCTCAAACTGCGCAGCCACGGTTCTCATAGGGGCCAATTAAAGCCTCGAGAACCCACCTGGTCCTTGCCATCAACACGTCACTCCCAACGCAGATAAACCCTCATAGATCCACAGGACTCGACCAACTTGATCGCAAAATTCCCAGACAAGCGGACTCCATCCTAGAATCGTTCTACTTCGAACGAGCAGACAAAAGCCAAAATGTCAGGCCACTCGAAGAAACTTACGACGAAAGACTTCACGAAATCTGCTGGCCAAGTACTCCGGGATCTCCGCGACCTCCAAAAGACGGGCCATACCCTCCCCGATATTATTTACAACTACCGTGTGGAAGATGGACGAGTTGTCAGAAAAAGATATCGTGAAGGAAGCCAATCGGGCAGCGATAGAGAGGATTCGGAAGACGAAAGCAAACTTCACGCCAGCAAAGCAAAAGCCAAGGCCGATCAGAATACGGCCGCCGCTGCGAAAATGGCTCCAGATGCGGGTGTGAAGGTATGGAGGAGAACCTCGAAAAGATATCAACCTGAAACGCCACGAAGCGAGATGCAAACCGATACGATGCAGGGAAGAGAGCTTCATGATATGACTGGCGTCGGAGTGGTGGGAGAACAAAGTGAGGGGGTCGTGGGTTCCAGTGCAACGAGAAAACCTGTGGGCAGCGCCAAGGCAAGACAAGAAAGGAGTGAAAACTGAAGAGTGTAGCGGGGGTTTGATAAAGGAGGTTTGCTGGGAGTTGTTTTGGTGGTAGGCGTATGATACTAATTTGCAATCACGATGTCACATTATAGACGCCGGGGGCCATGGGTGTCTTTCCGGCTTTATGAATACAGACCTGTAGGACCAGTCTCAAAACCTGCTTCCTGGAACTTTCTAGTATTCTATGAGAATTTCTAAAGCTTTCCTATTTGTTGCCTCCAAATGGCTTCTCAATGTGGACATGCCAATTTTTCTAAAGGATGATATCAACAAATTGTGAGTTAACCATTCAAGCACGTGAGAGCTGCCATTCCCTTTCTTGTCACTGCTGGAGTGAATTTGTTCGTGTTTCGCGGGTAACCGTCATCTCATTTCTGGGACTTGAATAGCATATAAATTAGCTTGACTCAAAATGATATTTGGCGCAAGACATCTGACCACCGTTATCATGGACGCGAAACGACGCCCTCCTCGTTATTACCAAGAAGCCAAAAAGGAAGACTTTGTTATTGTCCACGATGAGACGAATCCGCGCGTTGCTCATGATAACTACGTCGAAGAGGACATCGTCGGCCTGAACGGTATGGTCGAGTACGCAGACGTTCTGAGAGCCTCCGAAAAATTACGCCAAATATGCGAACTTCCTATGGATTCGAACCCACGAAAGGCTGTTAGAGCCGGGAAATCATTTGACAGATTCGCAGCAGCTCGAGCTTCCTTGGATGAAGCCTTGAGAGAGGACGTAGGCACTCGACCACCTGGTGAGAGAGAGCAGAGAATCCATAATGCTCGCAAGGAATGGCAAGATGCCCGCGCCGTTTTGAGATGGGCTATATTCTGTCTTACGAGCCCTGAAGAGGCAACCGACGTCGAGGATCGCTCCTACGCAAGGGATGTATGGCACCAACCGTGGGAGGAATTGAATATTGATAGCGATGCCCAAGAGACACTTCCAGATCCTTACACTGGCTCTGGGCCCAAAGCCCCTGGCTATGGCCCCAAGCTTTTGTCATATATGTTCTTGGCTGGAGAATTAGTCTATGAATTAACTGTTAGAGACATCAAGAGACAGCTGGGTTACCGTTGAACTAGCCTAGAAGCGCGTTAATACTGATAAATTCTCATTACTTTGATTCCCTAGTCTTCTATTCCCTGGTCTTCTATTCCCGGGTCTTCTGTTCCCTACTCTTCTATTCCCCAGTCTTCTACTCATGAAAGACGTGCTGCTTTGACCAGATTCCCTGGCTATTTGTACTCTACAATACCCCTATTACTCCTGAAAGTGTACTACTTTATCGATGTGGGTTCCAGAAAAGAATATACCTACATCCAAAGCCCCATCTTCAGGTGTTCGTTTCTTATCCGCGAACGTTGTTCTTGAGTTTAGCTTACTTTATGTCTCTGTCCCAGCCAGCTTGGAGGTTCCGTTGGCATCCAAACCCCACACAATATTTTGACACACTTTACGCAGAAGGAGATTGAAGAATGAAGTTACTAAACAAGCCTCATTGAAATAATTGTAGACTAACTTTGGGTAAGTCCTGTGACTGGTGTCACTTCACGAGTCAGCAGTCCACGTTGTCCACACATTTTAGTGAGAAGCAACACAACGCGGATTTTGCAAAAGACTCAGTCGTCTCGATCAATACAATCGCTTCAGAGAAATTCAGTAGACTGTTCTAGATTTCACACAGCGAGTTCTTAATGGGGTAGGTGGATAACGTACTCCTCTATCGCGCTGCCACAGTAGTTTCTGCGCCTTGTTATGGTGGGGATCAAGGAATAGATTGTTCGCAAGGAGGGAAGAGAGACGCTCTTCGCACTCCTTAGGTATTTGTCTATCTACGGAAAGGTACACCCGCAACTTCGCTAAGCGAACCCTTATTCACTAAATCAAAAACTGTCACATAAGGTCCCCCTTTCCCTCTCAGTTTCCCCGGCTCTCCTTTTCCTCTTCACAATCCCCCCAGGCTTGTAATCGTTCGTCCTCAGTAGGTTTTGTCTTACGTGGAAAACGTTTCTCAAACTCGCGGATAGAGGCAGTACTACGCACCACGTGAGCTAATGGTTCCCATGAGTCTGCTTCCGCCACGTAGCCTCTCCATAGAACAAGGTATTGAAATCCTTTGTTCTTATTCCTCCTTGAGTTTACTATCTCTTCTATTGCCCAGAGCACATATCCACTGTCATCGACCGTAACGGGGGGTGGTGGTTGATTAGTCTGGCCTGGCATAGGAACACCTGCGGCAGGGCGCAGTAAGTTGGTATGAAAGACATTGTGAATCGATTCCAGTTCGTACGGTAATTCCAGTTTATATGCGTGAGAGTTCATGACTTGTAGTACGCGGAAGGGGCCAATATACTTAGCGTCAAACTTAGGGATCAGCCTAGTTGACTTAATGTTTCGGGTACTAAGCATAACCATATCCCCTACCCTGTATGCTGGGGCTGGTGATCGGTGAGTATTAGCCGCTTCCTCCATCTTGTCTCTAGAGGCAATGAGGTTTGTATGTAGGAGTGCTAAGATATCCCTCATCTTCTTAGCAAAAATCAAGCCCGCAACTGCGTTCTGGGAAGTAGATGGAATCCGAGGGGGGCTAAAGCTCATTCGAGGGTGGTATCCGTTGTTCGCAAAGAAGGGTGACATGCCTGTAGCTGAACTGAGCACGTTCCTCATCGCAAATTCAGCTAATGGTAGGAACTGAACCCAATCCTGTTGAGCATAGTTGATGTACTGGCGGAGGTACTTGGAAATAGATTTATTTGCGATCTCAGTTTGGCCGTCTGTTTCGGGGTGATATGCAGTAGAAAGGTCGACTCGTACACGTAATATGCCACAAACCGCCTTCCAGAATGCTGTAATAAACAGAGAGCCTCTGTCAGAGATAATAGAATCCGGTAAACCATGAAGCTTCCAAATATCTCGAATAAATAAGCGAGCAAAGTCAGCTGCAGTCTGCTTTGAATGGCATGGGATAATGTGGCAATCCTTTGTAAGCCTATCAGTAACTACCATAATCTGGTCGCAACTATCTACTGTCATAATTGGACCCATGAAGTCAACAGACAGGTCCTTCCACCGCTGAATTGGGATAGGGAGAGGCTTCAAAGTACCCTGATATCGTAGCTGGGAGAGCTTATTCCGAAGGCAATTCTCACAGGCTTTGACAAACTGCCCAATGTCCTTGTAAAGTTTAGGCCACCAGTAGTCCCTAGACACTAGCTCGAACATCTTGTCTTTGCCTGGGTGACCGCTCTTAACTGAATCATGAATCTTCTGAAGAAGCCAAGCTCTTAGCTCCGTGTCTGGGACATATAGTCTATCCCAGAAGTAGAGCTTGCCATCGGTGATACGACATTCTGACAGGGCTACTTCCTTTGAGTGAGGTGTACGGTCGGCTCTATTCATCTCCTGGGAAATCCGAATCCAAAATAGGTCTTCTTGATAGCCCTCGTTGAGGAGCCGAGTAAGTTTATGATCATCTAGTTCGTCTAGGTCTTCTTCCTCAGGCTCAGGGGAGTCTCCAGGTGTTTCTAATTCATGAGATCCATTCTCGTTAGACTCTAGCTCCTCCTCAAGAGGTGCTATACGAATGGCCGGGTCTAAGTTGTGAGGCTTCAGGAGTGACTGTTGCTGGTATAGAACTCGAGGGTCGTTAGGCGAGGAGGGTAGGTCTTGAGAAAGCCGGGTTCTACTGTCTGCTTTCACCATCGCTTTCCCAGGCAATGACTTGATAACAGAGTCAAATTGAGAAAGGAACTCACTCCAACGTACTTGGCGACGAGTGAGCTGCTTCGTTGTCATAAAGTATTTTAAATTTGAATGGTCATTGATAACCGAGATTGGGTAGGCTACTCCTGAGAGTTCTGATCGCCACGCTTCAAAGGCTCGAACGAGAGCTAATAGCTCCTTATCATAGATCTCATAGTTACACTCAGCTGGATCAAAGACTCTTGACATGAAAGCAACTGGGTATAACACTCCATCGTAATACTGGGAGAGAATAGCAGCAGACACGTAGTCTGAGGAGTCGCATTCTAAAATAACCTCCTTTGTAGGGTCAAAATGACGTAGTGTAGGCGCTGAAGTAAATGCTAACTTCAAGGTCTCAAAGGCGTCAGTACACTCTGTAGTCCAGTCCCAGCGTACGTTTGACATTTGTAGGGTCAAAATGACGTAGTGTAGGCGCTGAAGTAAATGCTAACTTCAAGGTCTCAAAGGCGTCAGTACACTCTGTTGTCCAGTCCCAGCGTACGTTTGACTTAGAGAGACGATTCAGTGGCTTAAATATCCTGGAGAAACTTCCAATAAAGCGACGATAAAAATTTGCAAAGCCTAGGAAAGCCTGTAAGTCTTTAAGGTTTGAAGGTACTTCCCACTCGACGATTGCGGAGACTTTTCCAGGGTCCATTCCCACTCCGTCAGTTGAGATGATCATGCCAAGATACTGAACCTCCTGGACTTCAAATTCACACTTCTTGATGTCCAGGTAGAGGCTAGCCTTCTGAAGAGCTTCGAGGACTTGGTGTACGTGCTGGCGGTGAGAGAGTAGGTCATCTGAAAAGATCAGGATGTCATCGAGATAAGCTGTACAAAAGATATCCAGGAAGGGGCGTAAAACCTCATTAATTCTGGCTTGAAATGTTGCAGGAGCGTTGGTTAAGCCAAACGGTACAACCAATGACTCAAAGAGGCCGTACCGAGTGTTGAATGCTGTTAGCCACTCATCTCCTTCTCGCATCCTAATACGGTTGAATGCTGCGACGACGTCTAGCTTAGTATAGTACCTAGCTGTGCTCAATCGTTGAAGGGTCTCTTGAATACGAGGGATCGGGTATCGGTTCTTGATCGTAATATTATTAAGCTGTCTGTAGTCTACACAGAAGCGCAGGCCCCCTCCTGGCTTCTTAGCAAACAACACAGGTGACGCTGCTGGCGATGTACTAGCTCGAATAAAGCCCTTGTCAAGTTGTTCTCTCAAGTATTTCCGTAAAACTTCCAGTTCTCCGACAGACATGTTGTATAGTGGGCCATGGGGTACTTTTGTTCCAGGTTTTAATTCAATGTGGAGATCGCAGTCTCTGTGAGAGGGTAGTCTATCTGCAGCTTGTGGTTGAAAAAGCGGAAGGTGCTGGTGATATTGCTGAGGCAGTAAAGGGGTTGGATCAATAGTCTTTGGGTTATTGTACTTGTCAAGACTCTTCCGGATATCATCAAGTGAAACCCCTTGAAGGTACAGTTCAGCTGCTTTCCGGTGACGCTGGGACTGCTGGTGTACTGCTTGGTTTTCGGTAGAATCTTTAGGATGGAGCTCCTTTTCCATGCGCTTGTAGCCTGTGAAACCATCGTCTGCTCGGTGTTCAGCCGGTGCTGGCGGGGGTAGATCAAGGTGTTGCTGGCCAGTAAGCTCCTTCAGCCTCCGGTCGATTTCGTATA